GTTGACTATAGGAATGTATAATGGAGTACTCGGAGTTATATACGAATCAGCGCTTTTTACTCGCCGGGTCGCCGTATAATAAGGGAAAACGTAAACGTTTATACTGTGATAAATCCAATGTGATGTCAGAGAGTGCGCACACGTGTGCGCCCCCCGACTCGCTCTGGCGGGAGCGAATGAGAGACGCCGAAGAGGGATGACACTTCTCTTAACGTATCTTAAGAAAACACCGTGGATACAAGAAAACCGTCTACGGACGTAAACCCAGCACGGATGAGCGATCCTTCCATAACCGCCTTCTTTCATCGCGAGATTTCGTAAATATTTGTCGTAGAATTCGATACAGGTTCTTTCCCACGGACTGCTCTCGATTTTCCGAGGGATTATTTTAAGCGGGATTGCCCGCGTACACCGTAATTCCTTATCCGTAATTTTCTGCAGTACTGTTACGACATCCGCTCTTCTGCGATCTATACAAGATAACTCGATTAATAATAATTTACTTCCGCTTTATTTCCCTGCGTCTGTAATTCTCGTGAATATGAGAAAATATTTCTCAATTTAGACCGACGCTCAATTTCATTACGAGGAAACAGTCGAATGTATCAAAACAAAAAAAATTTACATTTAATACGCATGAATGAAAATACATATATACATGTATACGAAAGAATAGCGTAAATGCCATTGTTTCTACCGACAAACTGTTGAAACAGTTTATTTCAAATCCGCGAACATGATCGAGTATCGCTGTAACAGATCCACGATTAGTCGAGCTGATATTTGATTTGTTTGTTATTACAATGGATTTTTTTTTAATGAAAAAATCCGCAGTTATATAATATTTTAAATCGTTTTATGTAACCGATATGTGTCGTGTTACCTCGTTAAAAATCAAGATTTCTCTAAGATCGCTCTAATTTCGTGTCTTCCTGAAACTACGTGAAGAGAAAGTAAGCTACTATAATCGAGATTGATTAAAGCGTCGCGACTTATCCGTGCGCAATATTTTATCATCCACTCGTTGATGAAAGCAGAAGTATTCGGTTCCGGAGGTAGGGGAGAGGCCTTCGTCGGGACTTTAAATTCACTCCGTCTGTTTTACGAGGCTATAACCTGCATATAGCTTCACATTCTACGCTTTTCTTCCCCTCGTGATAGCAGCTTTTTCTTGAATTTACAAATTGTTGCTGGAATTTCATTATACATTTTATTACTCGATATCCTTGCTGATACTAATTTGGCAGATATAGTCGGATAAATCACGTTAAGATTTAAGTGAAAGCAAATTAAATTTCCGTTCTGAGTAAACGAGCGATTTTTTTCGATATGCGATAAATATAGTTTAAATCAACTTTTCCAAGATGTGTATACATGTACTCGTAATAAATCGGATACTCGTAATAGATCAGATAAATCGGATTTATGATATCTTTTTTTCGATACGTTTCAATGTGTGGAATCTGTGATATTTATTAAATACCAATTCAATCTTTTCCGATAGAAAAAAAAAACAGCACAAAGATCCTCCACTTAGAAAGTTTTCAAAAGGATCGACAAATGTTTGCGCCTTATTTTTCATGTTGCGACGTAAAGAAAAGAAAGGATGTTATTGATATTACAGGAATAAAAATTTCAAAGACTTCAGGTCTCGATTTCCGATATTGGTCCTGGACAACTTCAACTTCCTCCGTGGTGAACGCGAAAAATCTCCATTCCCAAATTATTGTACTACGACCAGCAACAAACTCGCGTTTCTATCTCAACGTCGGGGGAATGGGAAATGGATGGAATGGAGATGTAAGTAAGTTGGCGATGAGGGAAGAAGGTGAGTTCAGCGTAGCATACAGCGGGGGATGGAAAAGCAGTCGAAGTATTGAAGTGCGATCTCACTGCGCCACGATAACTAAATGATATTATTAGCCTTGAGCGAGATGGAAGTCGGAAGTGGAGCGGAGAGATCGAATAAGCAATGATGCGTTACGGCAGAGAGAGAGAGAGAGAGAGAGAGAGAGAGAGAGAGAGAGAGAGAGAGAGAGAGAGGGGGGGGGAGGGAGGAATGGGAAAAAATATAGTATGGATAAATGCATTAGATATGAAACGTGGAGGAACATAAAGGCACAAGAAAGACGCTGTAAGAAAAAATAGAGAGCGCAGAGAAAAAAAACGCGATGGGTCGGGTATGCGAAGTGAATGCTATTTAACTCCCATCGAACGAAAACTTTTCGCCACTCGTGGGTAACGCGATAGACGTGAGCATCATAGCGTTTATTTGCAAACGGGAAAAAAATGGAATTACAATAAAGTGAAATGGAGTTCTGACGATCCTACCTTTATAGTTTTCGCGCGCGGCACCCTGCGTCGGAGGTCGAAACGGTCGGCCGCTATAGGTGAGGCCGCGGGAGGCAACTTTTAAAGTGCGCCCTTGTTAAGTTTTATTTTGCGCGAGTTTTTTTTTGCGCGCGCGCGACCGTAAAGAGCGAGCGCGGCCCGCCCGGATTCTTTCGCGGATCGTAACCGAAAATTCGACGTCGCGCGCCACGCCGTATGGTGGATCCACCTGGGAGGAATCTCATTGCTATTCAACGATCGTGAGCAGCGCCCGGCGAAAATCCGTCGAAATGTTTAGCTTAAGAACAGCTCAGCGGCGAACAATCGAAGTGTTACACGTGAGTGCCGTTCGTATATAGACAGGTAATATACGTGTATTATTAGATGCCCTAATTTTGCGACAAACAATTTCTCTGTTTGTTTTAGAATGTTTTCTCCTTTTTTTTATACTGACCCAGTTTTAATTTAATCTTACGTATACTGCTCGCGGTTTTTTTTATTTTCAATCCATTTTATCGGGAATGTCCGAGCATAGTTTGAGCCAAAAGAGAAAATCACGTTTAACTATGAAAGCCAAGGGAGTCGTTAGCATAAAACTGGTAAGACGAGAGATTTAACGTGCTGAAAAAGGAAGGTGTGCGCGCAAGCCGCACACAATTAATCGCGAAAGTAATTATCGACAGGATAAATATCTCGACGGCCGTGTAACTTTTGCCGCCGCTTTTAGAATATCCAGATGTACGTTGGTCCCCTTTTGTTGGTTCAAGTACTCTTCGGCAGTCCCGCTGATATTTCAGGAGAGAGAGACACTTGTATCTTGGTACAGTAACATATGCGGCGGGGTGTTATCATTCCCTCTCAACGATAATATTGCTCTTGCCGCCGCGTGCGTTTCTTCCGTCGGTGCATTTACTTTGGTCTACCCGACACCGTTCGCGTACAATACCCGGGTCTTTCCCTCCTTTTCCCGAGGAATATAAATGCGGGGAACAAATTCCTATATAAAGGCGCCTCGGAAATCGCCGACGACAATTTTCGCCGTCGGGAGAAAGAACGCGCGAACTCGTGCGCGAAAGGGAACAACACGAGCGTGCGCGCAAGCGCGTATTTGCGTTAAAAAAAAAACAATTTTACGGTGGTGTGGTGGCGGCGATTTAATTTCACGAAACAAATGATCGAGCACATGTCGCATCAAGAGAGCAACTTGAATATTCATCGAATATACCGCCTAAACGTGCGCTTTATGGCGCTCGCAAATTTTTGCAAACGTGCGATATTTGCGCGATTACATCGTCCGCGAAATAGAACGGCGGCAGAGGGGAAAAAAAAGTAATTGGCCGCGAATGTATAAACGTAACCAGTTATGTTTGAATCAACGAACAAGCGAATGCGCACCGTGTCGTCGTGTAGCGCACTTTATGAAGAAATGTAAATTAATACGCGAAACACAAAAATAATTTCGTTACCTCTGCGCGATGTCTATATTTAAGTGTCTACGATAAATAATGTTAACCAATAATATTGTATCATAAGAATTTTTATTTCCGTCTGGAAAAAACTCGTTCATAAAATTTTTAATATCTTAATATTTTTCGCAATAAGTTCGTCGCAGTATTTTAAGACGCGCTTATAAGCATCGAATTAAAAATCAATTGTAATCTCGTTATTGCAACTTCAGCTAATTGCGTTGCAAGTCCGACATTGATTTGGCGCGCAGTTTAAATGGCTGAATAATGGATTTCAAAATTCGTATAAAATTTATTAGGCACCAAGATCCAGCTGTAAAAGGCGCTCTCAAATTTATTTGTGTTATTCGTTCATAAAATATATTTTTTTCTATTTAATTATCGAAAAAAGTAAATAAAAATGTTATATTGTTTACTGTGTAACCATATTGTTTACTATATAATCACCAGAGAAAAATTGACAATCTCAATAATACAAATACTCAATAATACAATTATTTGTGATACGTTATTTTTAATTGTTCACATATGAATGTGCGAAAGGTCTTTGGCGAGTTCATACGAATATTCAATTAGATCATTGAACGCTATTTCGGTTAACACTCTCTCGCTACAATTTCGGTGACTTTATCTAGGCAGATATAAAAGCATTTCGCCTTTAGAAAGTGCGACGCCTTTCGCGTTGCCGCAATTTTCATCTAATCTACAAAAAGCTCTTGTTGCTGCAGGGCGACTTAAACGCTTTCGAACATGCGTATACTTCGAGCTTAATGCAAAGAAAATAAAGACAGAAGAAAGATAGTTATTTAATTATGCAAGTAATTTATAAAAAATATATGTTCGCGAAGCAAAAAATAATGCAGAATGTTAAAGATTGTATTTACTGTGCTAAATAAAATATAAATTCTTTGCCATTTACTTTCTTCTTCTTTCATCTTTTTTTCTGATTAAAAAAGAATCCGGATTTATTGTAATAAAATTTTTCAGTGTCACAGGAACATTAATAAAGTATAAGCATCGATATAAAATGTACATATGACATTGGTGAAAAAGTTAAAAGTATTTTAAAGCAAAGGAGAATTATTAAATGAATATAAGAAATATCACATAAAAAATTTCGAGAAATCTTTCTCACTCATTATTTCTGTAAGGAGTTAGAAAAGGTTGTTTTCGATCCCGGGAGTTGCACGACAAGATAGTAAGATGTTCGTGCAAACAATCGTGCCGTTTAATGCACTTGAACGAACGGCAATACGGCCACCTCCTCCCTCGGAATTTTCATCGTTCATTGGCAACGTCGGAGAGCGATTGGCATTCGAGATTCGTCAAAAGTTCAAGGGACTTGGAGCGGAGCCAGCGGTTGTCACTCGTTACACGTGTGTGCGCGCGGGTACGTGCATGTGTGGACGCAAGTGCGTTCTCTGTCCCGAGAATGTCCCGAAAGTGAGTCACTTTCCACCCTCCTCGTTCCTATTCCCCAACGACGACCCGGGGCGGGGTGAAAACGCGGCGGAGCCGCGCACGGAACCGCAGACGTCGTGCTCGAAGAAAAACACGGGAGGAGAAGTTCGTTCGACGGAGGTGAAGGAACGGGAGGAAGAGTCGCCACAAAAAAGAAAGAAACTACGAAAGGAAGGAAAAAAACCTCCTCTCGTAAAGATATCGCTTCTTATGCTTCCTATATACGAGCGCGCGGCGCGAGGCTTGAAATATCAGAACGTCAGGATGCGAACTGGGCGTGGAAGAAAATCTCGAAGGCGAGGGGACGGGCGAGAGAAAAATACTCTCTCTCTCTCTCTCTCTCTCTCTCTCTCTCTCTCTCTCTCTCTCTCTCTTGCCAGGAAAAAAAGTAATCCGCTGCAGTGCATCTCGGGACAGGCTCCGAAGGGGGTGGATGCGCTCTCGCTTGTGGCGAGCGTAAATCTCGATTCGAGAAAATGAAATTTGTGCCGTGGCGCATCCCAGTGTCAATTTTTACGGTACGTACGTGTGTATACGTACGTGCAGTCCGCGGCGCGCGTGTCTGCACTCGCGCGCACGCGTTTTCCACGTTTCCGCGTGGTTGGATTATTTTTATCGCGCTCCCCGACGCATGCGATATTTTAGTTTACCTATAAATCACGCCGCATTCGCGGGATGGCGAAGACGAATTTAAATTCATGCGATTGAACGGCGCGTGACATTTTCGATGGCAGGTCGTGTTTTTATCGGCGCGCGTCGACACATTACGATTATCGGCATGATGATATTATGAACGATGCGAGCACGAGATAACGGGCGCGCATTGAAATATTAAAATATTGCAAGTATTGCAGCGGACGAGTCCGCCGTACGTCACACATGGAAAGAACGTATTTTGTTGAAAGGTCTAAAAATTTTGCTGAATACAGGCCTGGAAATAATTAATTTATTAAAAATTAATTTTTGTTTAATAATCAAAATTATTTATTGGAAAGTTAAAAATAATAGGCATTGCTATATAAAACGTTTTGATATTCTAGCAATCATTTTGACTTTCCAACAAAATTATTTTCATTATTGAACAAAAATTATTTTCTAATCTGGATCCATCAAAATTGTTCTTTCCGCAAAGAGCGAATTTTCAAATATTTAGCGGGCCTTCAATTTTCATGTGCCTTTGATTATTAATTAAGTCACCCTAATAGACATTGAAGACATTATAGTTCTCGCTAATTAACATTGCAAACAATTATAAAGGCGCGTGATAATTATTTATTTTTTTACATCGCAATAAATAGAGACACATGTTAATGAGTAATAAACAAACGAATACACATTTCTAATGCAGTGTACATCGCGAGTGCAAACGCACATAATTTGTTCTAACTAAAACGTAATTGTTTTACGAGGCAAAACCGTGATACACGCGCGTCCTCGATATTATTTGTAAAGCTACTCGACGCTAAAATATGTATTGGACATCAATATGTATTAAACGGCACGATAAAAATCGGTGCGCTCGGCCCGTTTGCCGGCTATAATATTACTTTAAACTAATCGATGTATAAACATGGAGAGATATTTACGTCAAGTTCAATATCGCCCTGACGCATCTCGTGTACCCTCAAATTCTGCGATTAATACACGAATAATAATATATTGACAGCTTTCAATCATGTTTTATTTTTAAATATTTCAATATGTAGGGCATAAAAGTTTAATACCTTACACGTATCGATTTCGTAAGCCGCATATCCAAACGACCATTAGAAATTGAATATCCACATTAAGGAACGTATTTAATTCATACTATGACATATGAGGTAAAATTAATGGCGGTTCATCGGTAAAAAAAAAGGATTTTATTTGCAACTTTCATTATAGTTGATTTTTAGCAATTTAATTAATAAACAATAAATAAATATCAGTGGACGATGCGAATGTTTAATTGCGCGGGGATTATCCGAGACGAATCATTTTCGTCGAACGTTATTTACGAAGGAAGGAAGACAAAGCTCGAACGTGAAATCGAGAAGGGAATAATAAATCGCGGCGTGAACGCGCGCCGCTTGCTTGTCTCGACGAAAGCCGAGCGTGAGGAAAATGCTATACGGCGGAGAGGACCCGTAAAATTGTCGCGCTGGTACCGCGCGACTTGTCTACTCGCCCGCGTTTTTATACGAAGCTATACGCGTCCGCGCTCTCTCGCGCACGTGGAGATGGTTTTTTATTTCTTCGCGCGAGAGAGCGCGGCGAGTATTACACACGCGCGGATGCATTATTCATCGTGCGATATATAGAGTGCGGCGCGGAGACGTCGGCCGATGAGTTAGGCGCACTTTCGACAATCCGTCTCGTCGCGTCCACACACTTCAGTAAGACTTCGCGAGCAACTGCGAAGTCGAGAGTATCGATTTCGTCAAAAATGCGCTCGACGATTAGAGAGTCCACCAAGAGAGTGCGGAGTTGCCGCACAGCCCGCCGCGCCGTATACGGAACGATTCAAACGCTCGGAGCCCGCTGGGACAAGTCTGGGGAGAGAATTACGTACCCGAGGACTCCGGAAATATCCCGACGACGCGGTCCCCGTACGATAGTATTCAGTAGATAGTTCATACCAGACAATTTCGCTGCTTAATTATTCCCCGCTCTGCGTTTTGCCGCTCTCGCGATAGAATGCAAATGAACGTTTGAGAGTTTTTGCGGGGAATAATGAACAGCGGTCTACCGCGCGGCCTCGCAGGATGTTCGGCCGTGAAAACGTTCGTAATTTTGTAGTCAAATCTTCGGCAGAGCGGATCGAATCAAGGATGCAAGCTTGTTCCCTCGCCAGAATTAAAAAATATTCGTTTCGTTTAAAAATATTCAGCCGGAATGTATTAACGTCAGTATTAAATTTAAGAATATTAAAATTATATATTGGTAAATATAATATAATATGATATATTATTAAATGATAATATTAAATAAAAGTAAAGTAACAACGTAATATTTATAATATTGTTAAAGATAGCATATTTCCGTAATATTTTCACAATATAATATTTCTCATAAATTAGCTTTATTCAAAAATCAAGTTCAATTTCTCTCTCTTACCCTCTCTCTCTCTCTCTCTCTCTCTCTCTCTCTCTCTCTTTCTCTAGTATTCTCTACCAGACCTGCATAATCAAGACCTAATTAAGCGAACGGATCACACAAGCGCTCTTACCCTCTCGAACTAATCGTTCAAACTGGTTGAGCTGGCAAAAAGCAGGTGCAGCTTACAATCGCACACGTGATTCGCAAAACCGCGTACGTGCATAAATGAGTTGGAAAAAAATGCATTGTTCGTCATTGAATAATATTGTTTTGATCGACGATTAAACCGCAGTCGTACGTACAGTCAATTAAATGAGAATTACAAAACAATTTATTTTAGCATGTCAAATGATAAAGAAAAATCAATGCAATTTTTGGAAATATTTTTCACATTAGCTTTTCTCCCTTACGAGGATAATAATTACAACAGTTTCCCCTCTTTTTTTGTTAAGGCTTGCCGTTATGTCTCGAAATTAAAGCGTCAGGTGCTGCGTGATGCCTCTATTCTTAATAAGACACAGATTTTCTTTTGTTCGCATATCATTAATCATCGGCTATCCTAATGCAGGCATTGCGTGTCTAATGTCGTATCAATGTTGGATAGTACAATTCTAACGATTGCTACGTACAATTGTTACATTTAAAATACGCCTTTGACTATACTGGAAAGACATGTTGATTAGGTAAACCTAAATGAAATCAACATGAGCTGCAATAATGGAAATTAAAAATTAAGGGTGTATAAAATGCAGTGTAAACGCATTATATTAAATTTATCTCTGTTTTATACCCGGACCGAGATAAAACTGAATTTTCCATAACATTAATTATTCCTGAAATTAGACGCGCATTACTTAATTAAATTTTCAATGACCGTGTTACCAAGATAACGCTGTAAAATACGCTCTCTCTCTCTCTCTCCTCTCCCACTCCCTCTTCCTCTCACGATTCATTTTATTGGTAAGTACTCTTTAATAATTTTCGAATAATAAATCTGCGAAAATATAAATGCTTATACATGTTCTTGTATGTGAAAAACGTAGTAATGAAATAATCCGCGCGTCATGAATTTTCCGTTTTCATTCTACAAAAATTTGATTATATGAACAATACTCTTTTAATTAGTTACTTGCTGTGCAAATGTCTATAGACAGCTTCTCTCTCAATGAATTAGAAACGTTTAGAATTAGACCGTTTAAAAAAAAGAGCAAAAAATTTTTAGGTGATTACTAAAAACAATAACTAATGTAACGGCAATATTCCATCTAAATAAGACATGATAAATTAGTTTCTTTTTTGTGACATACTACGATATCTGATTACAATGGTGAATACTGCGCTCACAATATTATAAAAAACATATCAATCTATATTCGTAATATTGATTATACGCCAACGTGAAAGCACAGAAAATGGCGAGCATCAAATATACACATTCATAAATCGTGGGGTATTTACCGTGTAACCATATTCTCATTTGTCACGCTATACGAACGTTTGCATACTTGAAAACGTTATTTGTACCAATCATCGCCGTTTTTGAAATGCAACGTATTTACATTACATTCCAATCACTGGATAATTAATGCACTTTCGTCCGACGGAAATACATAATTATCGAAACTGTCGTATATCAGTTACGCTACCTACGGATGCGCACGTTTAAATTTCCATGTGAAACATCCTTCCGCGAAGCTTCAGTTTGTTCACGGAATATATGTTATTTCCATTGCCTATTTCTACTACTTGTTCCGGGAAACTCAGGTCCCTGAAAACAAGGAAATATATTGCTCCACCGTATAGATGAGTGAACTATAAAAGTTTTCGTAAAGTATATACACATATTTTTGTGTCTGTGTTATGTACATGTCGAAGATCGGATTTATGCGCAAGCGGCATGATAC